GTTTTTGTTTTCGGAGATAAAAGAGAACTTCAACAAAGGAATTTTATTTCTTATCTAGTTTTATTCAACACGTCGATGTGTATATTTTGTAAATAGCCAGTTCCGTTACTCTCTCACTCTCACTGGGGATCAGTTTCCAGACACGAATTTAACACGTCTACATTAGTTGATGTGTAAGAACCAACTCTCCGGGAAAAAAACTCTCTCTAAGATTCCCACGTTACATTGGTCAATCAAAATCGACTTCTTTTATTTTTTTGTCTCTGACCTCAAAGGTCAAAAATGAGGAAGTCAAAGCAGAAATACAATTCTCTAAAAATTAATTGTCTGCTATACTATTATTTAACACTTTAATTCTCCTCTTCATCTTTGAGGAGATAGTCCATCACCCACTGCCAGGACAGATATAACATAGCACTCTTTTCTTTGTTTCTAACCATTTTTTTTTAGTTCTATAGTCCTATACTTAACTTTTGGTATTCTTCGTAGCTATCACAATACTTCTTCGGAGTTCAGAGACAATCTTCCCGTCTTCTGATATTTAATTTTCAGCACTTCTTTGATTTTGGCATCTCGGATTTGCAGTTCGCAGTCTGGACTCATTCTCTTGCTACCAACCATGCAGTGTTTTCGCTTCCCTTCACTACTTTCTGTAGGAGTTCTTGTAGCTTTCTTTCTGTGTTTGCCATTAATACTGTGCCATTTTTATTCTTGATGTTGTTAACATCGTGGCCGCTGGTAATTAATCCTGGTAGCACGTCCACTTCTACCAGAATCGCCTCGTTGTATAGGTTGAATAAGTCCGGCGAGAAGACACATCCTTGTCTTAAACCCTTTCCTATATTTGTATTCAACACTTTCCTATATTTGTATTCGTATGAATGCGGTTTGCCACCGCCAGTATAGGTTCTTGATTATTCTAAAATCCTTCCCAAATAACTCAATGTTGCTGAATAGTTCCAACAGATCTTTTTGGCGTAGTTTACCGAATGTTTTCGCGTAATCAATGAAACAGAGTTGCACGTACTTTTGCATTTGTATTGCTTTTTCTGATAGAATTCTGAGCCTAAATATCGCATTCTTTCTTCCAGTGTCTTTGACGAACCCACACTGTTCCTGTCCTATTTCTGGTCTGATTCTGCTGCACGTTCTATTCATTAGAATTTGGATGATAAGTTTAATTCTATGGCTCATTAAGCTGATTGGCCGATGAAGTTTGTATTCGTATGCACCTGGCTTCTTAAGCAGTGCTATTAAGATAGATCTATTTAGGTCTTTCAGTATATCAACACTGAGATTTAATTTATTATTCTTTCGATGATCTTGTCTATGCCAAAATCTTTTAAGTCCTCCAGCATCACTATCGCAATTCCGTCTGGCCCTGCTGCTTTGTTGTTTGGCCATTGCATATTACACGTCAAATTTTAATATTTTTGGTCCATCGATATTTCTGCGTATTGCCGGCTGTTCTTTTTCGTCGTGGAAGAGTTCGACGATATATTCGTTTTTTGTAGAAATTTCTTAAAACGTGTACCTGGGCATAATGCGACCTTTCTTTTAGCCTTTAAATTTTGTTTAAAGTTTCTCGTATTATACACAAGAAAAAACGGTATACAACATAGTCAAGTTTACACTACTTCTGCACCAACGTATAATGGAAAGAGAAAAAAATAACGATATCTGACCTTTTCCAGAAAGATTAAGAAACTGTAGTGCGTGATAACAACAGTCGTGCCAATTCTTATCGGAGCACTGGGGAACTATCCCGGAAAGCCTAGGAAAGATACTACGTGTGTTAGAGGTCCAGGAAGAATTGAGATTGTTTCGGGTATAAACAGTTATAAGGCTGTGTTTTAATTGATCCCTTCCCAATGTTGTGGACTTGTGTATGTCCAAACAAAAAAAAAAGACATAGAGTTTGAACAAAAAATATTAACAAATATATTGTCAGGACATTTTACACAAAAAAAGGTTAAGAAATGAAATGAAATGTGAAAACTTCAAAGAAGAAAAATCTCTTTGGTTGATCACTCATATTTTGCAGGAGCAACAATAATACGCATTTTCACTGCGAAAAGTCACCGAGAGAGAGATCGAGTCTGTCAAATCATGCGCCGCCTGTAAAAACGGTCAGGGGGCAGTAACTCACCGCAATGAGATGCTGTCATCAGGGGGCGATAATCCAACAGGGTCGTCCACATTGTAGTGTTGCAAGAATACTGAGGAGAGTTCTGGGGTTTTGAGGAAACATTCTGTAACTCGGATTGCAAAAAACAAAAAAAAAAAACAACAGTTATTACTGGAGTGAAAATAATAATGATAATCGAAAAAATGTTTTAAACGGATATACAAATCCAGACCAAAAGAACGGATACGCTATAAATAAGCAAGAAAAGAAAGAGACAAACTTACCAGTTTATGATGAATAATTGGAGAATCGAATCTACAAGAATATTGAGGAATGACATAAAATTTAAAAAAAAATTATAGTCATTTGGGATAAGGTGAAAACTATCAGTTTACTTTAAATGTCTTATCTTTTCCGCATGGGCATAAACATGGCTCTACACAATCTTCCTCTCTTTTCTTCATCTAAGTAAATATAATGGAGATATGAATGAACTATATAGATAGATAGATAGATAGATAGATAGATAGATAGATAGATAGATATGAAAGGAATATATATATATATATATATATATGTGTGTGTGTGTATGTATAATATTATTTTTTTAAAAATATAAGAGTTTTCATGTTTCAAAAACGAGAGCCTAAATTTTCCCTTGAGGATGAAAGAGGGCCTGATACTTTAACTCAATTTAATTTAAATAATTATATTGAGGGTTTCGGCTCTCGTTTTTGAAATATGAGAACTCTTATGTAGCGAAGGAATCATTTTTTTTTTTTTAAGTAATTATAATTTAAGCTCTTCTTCTGTATGGAGCACTGTTTTTTTAAAAATGAAAACAAAAATACTAAAGAACTCCGGATTATTTACCTAACGTGTTCTTTCCTATTTTCCTACATATCTACACACACACACACACACACACACACATATATATATATATATATATATATATATATATAAAGACAGATATGAACACAGAAACATAGATAGATAGATATGAACAGAGAAAATATGTATATATATATATATATATATATATATATATATATATATGTCTTACTTATTATAAAACGCAGATTGTGAGTGTGTGTGTGTGTGTGTGTGTGTGTGTCCGTTTACATATTGCATCGGATTTCCTACATTTTTTAACCGATTTCAACAAAACTTCACAGGACTACGTAAAATTACCTTGCGGTGGTTCTGACAGCGTAAAAAATTTGAAAAACACAATTGTTTTTGCACGAAATCAATTTGAAAACACGATAATGAGGCATTAATAAAAGGGGGACAACTCATATCGAGTTATACTTAATAATATCGAGTTATAATTATTATGAAACCCAGGTTGGTTGTTTGTGTGTGTGTTCGTATATATATGGGATCGGATTTCCTACATTTTTCAACCGATTTCAACAAAACTTCACTTTTTTTGGAAGGTAGTGTTTCTTATTTTCTTGCACACTTTTTTCTTTATTTTTACATTCAGAATGCTTTAAAAATTCCATTTACAAGACAATTGTTTATAATAAAATTCTATTCAATCGGTAGACTCATAATGATTGGAAACAATGTTTTTGTTTGAGTTTGGGTTTGACCAATTCATAAAAAAAAAGAAAAGAAAAGAAAAGAAAACTAATGCGTGTCCGTCAACCTTAAACAATAATCTTTGTCAGTTTTATTTTTCAGTCTTTATGATGGTCGATACTTGATCTATCTCTTACTGTTACATCCCCAGGCAACACCGGGTTCTACTGCTAGTATATATATATATACCCGTATATAGATAGATATGAATAGAGAACTATAGATAGATATGAACAGAGAAACAGATGGTATTTATCAATTCACCCACAGGAATTGAATGTGGCACAAAGGCCTTTTTAATGTGGGTATATCTGAGCCCGTAGGCCCAGCCAAAATAAAACCCATCTAAACCCGTCCAAGCGGGCTATTTCCGTCAACCTCCCCGAACGAAACCCCCACCCTTCGGCGGAGCTTCGTCCGGGTTCTCTCTACAAGCAGAGTTCGACAGACACCGACCCGGCAGCTCACAAAGCGCAGATACTACACTTTGATCCTAGCCTCCAGGCCGAGCGGGTAACAGAGAAACAGATAGATATAAATGAATAGTGAATGTTATAAATATATATATATATATATATATATAGAGAGAGAGAGAGAGAGAGAGAGAGAGATTGATTGATAGATATGAACAGAGAAAGACAGATAAATATGAACAGAGATCGGTTGATATGAATTGGTTGGATAGATGTGAGTTTGTGACCCTGGCTTTCACGCTTTAGCGATCGTCAGAGTTTGTTTGACGATCGCTAAAGCGTGAAACCCAAATCAATCCAACCAAATATGTTAGCTCTATCTCTGATATTGAGCGCTTTCTAATAAGTACCGCGCATATAATATATATATAATTATACATATATATATTTATTTATATTTATATACACTTTTCACACACACACACATATATATATATATAGCGAGAGAGAGAGAGAGAGCAACAAATACATAGACAGAGATAGATAGATAGATAGATAGATTATGAACAGACTTAGACATATATAGCCTAAAATGCATATACATGAACGATCTGATGCCATGTCCTGAATCATTGATGAAACAAAACGAATGCGTCAATAAAAAATAGACAAAAAAAAAAACGATGATTTTTGTTTTGCCATCATTAATACCTTGCTCTATATTTCAACGTTTCTAAATCAACGATTGCTATTTTAATTAATTAATCAAATACATATAATGCAGAGCCACTTTTAACACTATGAAACCAAAACGTCTGGATCGAACAACCTTTACCTGAGCGCAAACATTAAACAAATTAAACACACTTATGTCTGTCCAAAATCTTTTCTTCCAGTCACGTATAAATATGTATTTAAAAAAAAATCTCCATATTCCTCTCGTCGGCCTTCAGATTTAAGCAGCTTCCTGGAGGGGAAATTGCGACCCTCTTCGACGACAACAAAACAAGTTAACTGTTTGGTTGGACGTCTCTTAATTGCTTTTGCGACCATCCTAGCTTCTGGCACGGAATGAAACGAACCTTCTCACTCGCTATATACATGATCTGCTTGCAATTAATTTTTCTGCCACCAGACTGATAGAAAATTGCCCGCGTATAGGCCATCGGTGAACGAAAATACGGACAGGTATATATATATATATATATATATATATATATATATATATATATATATATATATATATGCATATATATGTGTGTGTGTGTAAGTATGTATATATGTATATGAGTGTGTGTGTGTGTGTGTGTGCGCAGGCAGGAGTTGTCATACTAAAATGAAGGAATACTAATAGAAATTTGCCCGCGTGTAGGTTGTGGGAGAATAAAAATATGTGTGTGCGTGTATATATATATATATATATATATATGTGTGTGTGTGTGTGTGTGTGTGTGTATTATACTGAGGTGGGGGAATATTCATAGAAATCTGCCCGCGTATAGTGAATGAAAATACCGAAATATATATATATATATATATATATATATATATATTAGACTAAGGTGCGGGAATACTCATGAAATTTGCCCATGTATAGGTTGTCGGAGAATGAAAATACGAACAGGTATATATATATATATATATATATATATATATATTGTGTGTGTGTTTTAGGTAGCTTTTTTATTAATGCATGTTTCATTAAATAATATAGACAAGTATTGTCGATTTATTTTAAGTAAATTCCTTTCATATTGTCGAATAAGCTTTTAAGTATTATTACTGAAACAGGAAAGAAAATCACCGTGTTGATACATGTTTTTATAATTAATCCTGTCTAAGCTTTCGTCTTGCATAAGCCATCATCAGAGATTACAAGTACATTACAATAAATTAAATAATAAATTAAATAACAAAGATGGAAGATTGCTATGCAAAGATAAATTCGTGCATATGAAACGCATGAAGCAAATATCGCATTGCGGTTCAAGACATTACACATGACCACGTGATTTTAATTTTAACTCTCACGGGATCATGTGTGATGACATGAAACGCAACAGGACAGAGGCGGGAATATACAAAAATGAGTGTACAGAAAATCTAATGGTGTACAGAAACCTAAAACGAAACTATATGCACACGACAGATATAGGCTGCATAACAACACTTTAAACGGACTGATAGTTATCCGTAATATAGTTTCGACTTAATAAATGGCAGTCTGAGCAGAAGAATAATGATTCACTAAGAAGAAAATTTATCTGTGTACTGTGACTTCCTTCTTTACATTTAGTTCTATAGTATATGCTAATACTATACTATTGAGAAAATTAATTGAAACAACCGCTTTAGTTTCCTTTCTTTCACCATACGGTCGGTTTTAAACTCACTGGTGTGACAGGGTGTAATCGATTTCTATTTTTCCTCAGATTAGGTCATTTGCAGTGGTGTGTAGTAATATGAATCTATTGTCGGGCTTGTAATCGAGTTGTAATCTATTCATCATCTTGCGGCCTCAGCCGGGATTGAACTCACCAATACTTTGATTGGTGTAGTTCATAATCTTGTCAAATAGCTGAATTCTTGATGCTTCGCTAGGGCTATCAAGGGTGTTTTTATCGTTACACCAACACTAAATGGATTGCCAACCAAGGCTCAGAGAGACTCCATTCACTTTCCTCTAAGAGCAGGTTTGAATTCAGAGTTTTCATTCTCCTAGACCAGTTGCCATCCAAGGCCATAGAACCCAGTCTGTCCTGCTATTTACCCATAGCTGGAGGGAGAAGAAAGAGGATTCACACCTTTTCCAAGGGTGTTAGCACGTAAGTGAATGTAATGGATTCGACTGGAATTTGAACTCGGCTCTCCGATTCCTCAATCCAAGCCGCTATCCATTAATCCACCGTGCCTCCTCTAATCTATTAGTCCACCGTGCTTGTTCACTGAGAGTTCGCTAATCTTAAAATTCTTGACATTAACCCAGGACCTTACATAATACATTCGATCATCGTAAAAGCAATAGTAGGACAATACTGTCTGTATTTCTGTGATGAGGTATTATGTACATTATTTACATTATTCGGACTATTGTCCTCATCTTTGTCACCATATTCATTACAACGTTTCGGCCGTTGTACGCTCCAGCCTTCTTCAGGTGGTTAGAATGTCGAACTGAACCCTTTATTTCGCTCACTGGGGTAGACTGTTCTAGTTCCACGAGGGAAATTAACAGGAGATAACTGATAACTGACATCCATCAAACATGGCACGAGTTAATAGAGAAAAGAAAACAAAGATCTACTCGGGGTGGACTGATTTAAAATCCAACAAACACCATCGGATCTAACACATATACTCGACTCTCCTGTCGAATTCGACGTATGAGGGTCAAGCAGATCAGTTACTGGGAAACCGATAGCAGCACATGAGAATTGATTATAGTGGTGAAGGTTTCATTGCAGGACCAGCCACACTTTTGAAGGGCCGAATACAGAGACCTGGTTTTACATTACAAGGTCCCCAAACGACCCTCCACCAGGTTTTGAATTCAGAGTTGTCCTTCTCTAGACCAGTTGCCATCTGCTCTACTATTTACCCATAGCTAGAGGGAGAGGAAGAGGATTCACACCTTTCCCAAGGGTATTAGCACGTAAGTGAATGTAATGGATTCGACTGGAGTTCGATCTCGTCTCTCCGATTCCTCAATCCAAGCCGCTATCCATTTCTCTAACGTGCTTGCTTGCTTGCTAGCTATCTATCGTAAAAAGAAAGAACACTAAGATATATAATCTGGTGTTCTTATTGATATTTTTTTTTTTTTTTTTACAAAATAATGCTCAATGTAATGTACAGAGCATAAAAATATAGTTCCTTCGCTACGCAGGAATTACCATGTTTCAAAAACCGAAGCTAAAAATTTCAAATTTAATTATATAATTAAAGAAAAGCATTATTTCTGTATCATCTTCAAGCAAATTTTGGAATAACTTATTTTTAAGTTTGCTGATTTTTAAACGCACATACAATTCATATTTTTTTTTTATTTCCAAGGATACAGAGAAATCCATTCATTCAGACAGGGGCGGTAGCGTGTTCTTTTTTATCAACTATTATTGTATCAATTATGATTTACTTTCGAAAAAGAGGTTAAATCTAGGTAAGGTAGGGGTGCATTTTTCAATGAATTATGACATCCGTTCAACGCATGCCGTCTGCTTTTTGGAATTTTTTCCCGTTAAACACGGACTTGTATACATAAAGATTCTTTCTAAAAGGGGTTTTGGGTTAGAATACGTTATATTTAACTACAATTTTAAAATATTATTTTTGCCCTTAATTACTAACAGACAATATTTCTTTTTAAAACAAATAAATGTAATAGAATTATTTAAATTATTTAAAAATTATTGTTACATATCATATATATAAGTATGTATATTACCATCTCCAATATTTTTATTTTTTAATTATTTTATTTTATTTTTAAATATTGTTTAAGTAAAATTTTTGACAATGTCGGCAAAGAATAGCTATTTCATTTCTTTGATTGAGTAAATTTTTATTTTTTATAAACTTAGTAATATATAGTTTCTTATGTTTGCACAAAGGAGATGGATCATTTAATGACCTACATATTCTAGCTTTTCTTATTAATTTCCATTTTACTGTAGGTGTTTTATTGGTTTCCAGAAATATTGCAATAGGGACGCCTGATTTCTGTATTTATTTATCTTAAATGAACTTTGATTTTGATTGAATCTCTTTTTGAACTCAATGCTTGTGCAACCTATATAGATTTTTTATGTTTTCGGAATTCTCAATAGATGAGATATTGCATTGGTATACTAATGATACCGTGCGACATTTATTTTGTAGAGGACAGTTATGAGGATTTCTAGTTACATATTTATTTTGTTTATCTTCATCACTTTTTATTTTTATATTGTCTAAATTTCTTTGGCTTTGGTCTAAGTATTTATTCAAGATATTAACATTATGCTTCTTAATAATTTTCTCTAAGTTTTCAGTACAGCTTTAACTTAATTTTAGTGTATTTTTATTGAAAATATTACTAAGTTTACTATCTTTAGGAAAATGTTTATCGATTAATGCAAGGAATGTTTGTCCTAATTTAATCTTTACCATTTGGTTGTATGGGGATGTATACCTAATTATTTTTCTACTTTTGTTTTTCTATGCTTTCCATTTTCATTTTTTTTATATAAGTTAGTTTTGGGGTCTTGTAGCCACTATCTTAATATGTTGATAGAAAATCGTCGCATTTGCTGAATTTGTACTTATTCTTTTTTCGATAGCTAAAGGTATATATATATATATATAATCAAGCAAACACTTTCTTTTCTCTGGTCGTCATATCTGATAAGGTACTTTAATTTATTGTCCCTCTTGAGCTTAAAAAAAGCCTAATGCATTTTCCCTAGTCACAGTTTTTTTTTTCTTTTCAACCTGTAGAAGACGACGCCAACACATGGCTTATCGGCGAAACGCGTCGTTGAAAATCGGTTCCACTTTTTTCGTATCATTTTCACTTTTGTTTCGGATAGTTTTATACATCCTAAAACCACGTATATGCACACACACACACACACACACACACACACACACACACACAAATGCACATATAAACGCACTGTTAGATTGACATTGAAATAACATCAATTTTATATATATATATATATATATATATATATATATATATATATATATATATATATATATAGTTGTAGAGTGGATAAATGAAATGGTCAAATATGAGCAGGTGTGTGTACGCGTGTGCTAATTGTGCATACGCAAAAACAAATAAATACTTGTGTAAACGTAATACAGCTCAATGCGATTATGCAGAGCAAAGATATGTATTAATTCGTACATATACGTGTGCCTACGTTTTTGGCGTGAGTACGTACGCGTATATTTTTTTCTAAGCGTTTCACCCCAAGCAAGGCGGGAAGCCACTAGGATGTCGATTGACATTACATTTGAATAGCTGGAGATTATAGCTCTCAAGGAAACTGGAATAGGGAAGGGAGTTCCACAGGCGAGAGGTGTGAGACATGAAGCTATTGGAGTAGTAGAGACGGCTACATTTAAAAGTTTCGACAGTGAAAGGGTGAGAGCGGGATGCCAGTCTCGTAGGACGCTTGAACTCATGAAGTCTGGGAACCAGCGAATGCAGCTCCTCAGAGCAATTGCCATGAAAGTATTTGTAAAACAGACAGAGGGGCGACGGCGCGTCTGGCAAGAAAAGTGACTGTAGACGAGATGCCAGAACAGGGCCAATTACGTTTTGCATATCCGCCTCTGGAGCCTATCAAGAACCCCAGAGGCAAACAGAAGGGGCTCCAGACCATATGTGGCAGCAATACTCCATGCAAGGGCGAATTGTTGATTTGTAGATCTGGAGGATCGATTCGGAGAAAAAATTTCCTGGCGCGCACAGGGAGTTAACTTTCCTTGCGGTGGACGAAGCAATTGACTCAATGTATTTGTTCCATCTCCGGTCAGCAGTCAACGTGAGATCGAGCAGCCGCAGAGAGGTGCTCTCGAGAAGTTGAGCGTCAGACATTCTAATGGAGGGCAGGGAAGGATCTCTTTGGTGATTAATAGAGGTAGGTACGCTTATATGTACTAATTAATACATACGTCCATGTATTTATATATATATATATATATATATATATATATATATATAATTTATGTGTTTTCAATGCCAGCCTAGCAGTGCGCTTATTTAAAAAAAACTCTAGTTACTATAGCGAAGTGCGATATTTATTTCTGTTTCAATACAGAAAATGTGGCACAAGGCCTAAAGAAAAGGGGGATGGGGAAAAGGACGGTTATCATCTGTCTTAACTTTAAACTTAGCTAGCCACAAACACTGACCCAGACATACAAACTATATTCCTAACATCAAAACAACGCATTCATACTTACTTTTCTTACTACATCCACCATAATACCACATTGTCTCTATGAAAATCCTAACTAGACACGATATGTGCAATTCCTTGTATTAATAAATCAATATATTTGAAATTAGCCCCAATGAGTAGTTACAATATGAGTACAAATTTATTTACAAGAAACTACACAAAATACTATAGCGAACAATTACCATGAAAGTATTTATGGAAAAAACACACGGGGGCAACCTTACGTCGGTAGGACAGTGACTGAAACCAAGCCGCTAGATCATGATTGATAATATTGCTGAATCTTCAGTGATATCGGCAATATTATCAGCCCTGATCTGGCACATCGGCTTTATTCCTTTCCTTCTATTTCATTATTAACTTCATTTTATTTTGACTTCTTTCTTTATCTTTTCACCGTACTTTTTTTCTCTTTTTCATTTCTTTTTTTCATTTTTTTTCATTCTTCTTAATATTTCTTACTTTCACTTTTCCCCAGTCTTTTTTGCCTCCTCCTCGCTCTCTTTTCTTCTTCTTTTCTTTTCTTTTTCTCTTACTTTTCGATTCTTTCTCCCGTTTTCATTTTACCACTTCTTTCTCTCTTTTTTTAAAAACTACCGCAATTCCCCATGTATTATACGCATTAAAAAAATATGCAAAATTAGGGGTGAGAGGTGTAATTATGTCTTTAATTTAATTACAAAATTAAATTCGAAGCTTTTAGCTTCCAATTTTGAAACATGTTTAGAACTGTGTAGCGAAAAAAAACATATTTTAAATCAATTAATTTATAATATGTATATATATGTGTGTGCGTGTGTGTGTGTATGTGTCTATATATATATATATATATATATATATATATATATATATATATATATATATATATATATATATATATCCTACTTTAGCTTAGCCTTTCTTTCTCTTTCCCCTCTCTCTATTAGACTTTTCTATCTTTTATCATTCACATCTCTTTTCACTTCTTCGTTTGAGTTTCTCTGAGCTCCTTCTATTGTTCTCTCTCTTTCCCCTACATTTCTCCTCCTCACTCGATTCTTTGTTGTGAGATTTCCTCCACCCCCCCTCTCTCTCTCTCTCTCTCTTTTCCCTCTCTCTCCCCTCAATATTTCTTTGTTTTTCCTTTTGTTTATTTTTATACGAGTTTCCTCCTCCCGCTCTCTCTTTCACCCTCTCTCTCTATGTACATTTCACTCTTTTTCGTTGTATTCTTTTTGTACGAGACTTCCCCCCCTTATCTCCGTCTTTTCTCTTTCTCTCTCTATTCCTCTACATTTATCTCATTTTTATTTTTTTTATGTTTATAAGAGCTTCCTTTCTTCCTTCTTTTTACCCCTCTCTCTCTCTTTCTCTCACTCTCACTCTCTCTCTATTTCTTCCTGTATATGTCTCTCTTTTTCGTTTTATTCATTTTTATACGAGATTCCTCCCTTTTCTCTCTCTATCTTTCTTTTTCTCTTTCTTTATCTACATTTCTTTCTTTATCGCTTTATACTTTTGGTACGGGATTTACCCCCCCCCCCCTCTCTCTCTCTCTCTTCACCCCTCTCTCTACATATCTCTCCTCTTCATTTTATTTTTTTGTACGAGATTTCCCGGTCTCTCTCTCACTATCTCACTCTCTCTCTTCCTCTTTCTTGTATATTTTTTTTCGTTTTATTCCTTCTTCTACAAGATTTCCCCCCTCTCTCTCTCTCTCTCTCTCTCTCTCTCTCTCTCTCTCTCTCTTCTATATTTCTCTTTATCGCTTTATTCATTTTTGCACGAGATTTTCCCCAATGTCTTTCTTTCTACCCCTCTCTCTCTTTCTCTCTCACTCTTTTCTATTTCTCTTTTTTTCGTCTTCTTCACTTTTCCACTCTCTCTTTCTTACTACCTGTATCTCTCTTTCTTTCTAACCCCCCTTTCTCTCTCTTCTATTTTCTCTCTTTTTTCGCTTAATTCATTTTCGTACGAGATTTTCCCAATGTCTTTCTTTTTACATCTCTCTCTCTCTTTCTCTCTCACCCTTTTCCATGTCTCTTTATTTTTTCGTTTTATTCACTTTCTCACTCTCTCTTTCTTTCTACACCCCTCTCTCTCTCTGTCTCTCTGTCTCTCTGTCTCTCTCTCTCTCATTTCTATATTCTCGTTTTTTCGCTTTATTCATTTTTGTACGAGATTTCCCCACTCTCTTTCTTTCAACATCTCTCTCTTTCTCTCTCACCCTTTTCCATGTCTATATATTTTTTCGTTTTATTCACTTTCCCACTCTCTCTTTCTTTCTACCTCTCTCTCTCTCTCTCTTTCTCTCTCTCTTTCTCTCTCTCTCTCTCCCTCTCATTTCTATATTCTCGTTTTTTCGCTTTATTTCTTTTTTTGTACGAGATTGCCCCACTCTCTTTCTTTCAACATCTCTCTTTTTCTCTCTCACCCCCCTTTTCCATGTCTATATATTTTTTTCGTTTTATTCACTTTCCCACTCTCTCTTTCTTTCCTCTCTCTCTCTCTCTCTCTCTCTCATTTCTATATTCTCGTTTTTTTCCTTTATTTCTTTTTTTTGTACAAGATTGCCCCACTCTTTTCTTTCAACATCTCTCTCTTCTCTCTCACCCTTTTCCATGTCTCTATATTTTTTCGTTTTATTCACTTTCCCACTCTCTCTTTCTTTCTACATCTCTCTCTCTTTCTCTCTCTCTTTCTCTCTCTCTCTCTCTCCCTCACATTTCTATATTCTCG